CAATGGAACAAAAAGAGAAAAAAGGTTGAAAGAACGATTCCACCCAGATCTTATGCTACTCTCTTATACACATCTAGATGTGTATAAGAGACAGGATTTATCGTATGCGGCACACACACACACACACACAAAAAAAGAGAGAGAGAGAGAGAGAGAGAGAGAGAGAGAGAGAGAGAGAGAGAGAGAGAGAGAGAGAGAGAGAGAGGAGCAGCCGATGCACAGATATTGAGTGCCGCATGGAGAGAGACAAACACAGAGAGAAAACACAGACAACCACGCGCACACAAACGCACGCGCAAGTTGGGACGTTCTCACTAATCCCAGTGAACTGCAGAAAGAGAGTGTATATGCATCAGGTGACAGATCTCTCCAAAGACTGCAGTCAACCAGCTTGCATCTGAGAGAGAGACCATCTGACCCAGACAGACGCGATCTTCTTCGAAACGGAAAAGGGAACCACAAGGGTACATGTCAAATGCAAAAGCGAGAAAAGAACGAGCACTATCACTTCCTAATATGGGATTATGGGTGACGGATGCACAGGTATACTTACTTTGTGCGGCACAGAGAGACATAGAGAGAGAGAGAGAGGAGAAAGAGAGGAGCAGCGGATGCACAGATATTGAATGCCGCAAAAGAGAGAGAGAGAGAGAGAGAGAGAGAGAGAGAGAGAGAGAGAGAGAGGCAATGGATGCACAGATATTGTATGCCGCAAAGAGAGAGAGGGGGGCCGGGGGGGGGGGGGGGGGGGGAAAAAAGATACCTTCGGGAGGAAAGCAGCCCTTATGCTTGCCAAGAGCTCGGGGCAGAATCCCCGAAGAGGGGGGCAGAGGCGGCGTGGTAGCGACTGCTTCAAGGCCTCCAGCTCCATATCCGCTCGCTGTAATGTGGTCTCTACCTGCTTGATGATCATCTTTAGCCTGCGGAGTATCACTGTCGGTGATTCCTGAGAGGGTAAAGGATCAGCAGCAGCCGCCGCCGCGGCATCAAAGCCTCTTTCTTTCTCTCTATCTCCGCCAAGGCGCTGCTGCTGATGCTGATGCGGATGCTGCCTGTGGCTTCTCTCCTCTCGCAAATTGTCCTGGTCTCCCTCTTCCGCCGTTCTGCAATCCGAGGGGCGTACTCGACCGTTAGCGTCCCCTCCCCCTGCTTCCCCTCCTCCCCCGCCTCCTCCTCCTCCTTCTCCTCCTTCTTCAGGTGCTGCTCCAGGGGCTGCGGCTGGAGCCTGAACGAACAGAGGGTTGATGCTCCACCTCCTCCTCTCTGCCCGCAGGTCGAATTCCGGCGGGTCATCAAGCAGTAGCGTGTCCACAGACCGGTCGCTGAACGACTGATAAGCCGCCGCCGACCCGTCGAAGGACCCCTCGTCGACGCTAGCCGACGTGATCGATGACACCGAGCACCTTGGACACAACCCCTCTTGCTGGCCCTGCCTCTGAATGTGGTACCCGCTGCGTCCAACCATCCCGTCAGCACTCCTAGCCTCCTTCTCCAACAGCTTTTGCTGCTGCTGCGACAGCCACGCCTGGTATCCCGATCCCGACGCCGGAGCCAGTCGAAGCCCTAGACCCAGTCCCACAACGACTCCCAGTCCGAAGCTCAGTCCCAGCATCATTCCTGCCGATTCCGCCATTTCCCCCACACCGTGATATTGCAAATTCTCCTCCTCCTCCCTCCTCCTCCTCCCCCTTCTCTTCCTCCTCCTCCTCCTCCTCCTCCTCCTCCTCCTCCTCCTCCTCCTTCCCCTTCTTCCCTCCTACTCCTTCCTCTTGTTCTACTACCTATTCTACTTCCTCCTCTTCCTTTTTTACTCTTCTTTTTTATCTACGTGTCCAGATGCTCGCGCCTGTTTCCAAACAGAAAGCTCAATGGAACAAAAAGAGAAAAAAGGTTGAAAGAACGATTCCACCCAGATCTTATGCTACTCTGTCCCTCCACATCCTCATTTCCACGTCAAATCTATCACTACCGGTAGTTCAAGACAACCATCAACGAAATTCTATCCCATTGAATCCCGCCCTGTCCTATCCTATCCTATCCTATCTTTCCATATCTTATCTTATTTTATTTTGTCTTATCCTATCCTATCCAATCCTATCTTCCCATATCTTATCTTATTTTACTTTGTCTTATCCTATCCTATCCAATCCTATCTTCCCATATCTTATCTTATTTTATTTTGTCTTCTCCTATCCTATCCTATTTTTTACTCTCTATCCTATAGAGACCTAGGTAGTGATCGAACAGACTCGATCAAGATCGCCTCATCCGTCACGTCTGTGACGAAGTCCTCTCTGCCGTGCAGATGGTAGTTCAGCCGTCCTGTGTCCTCGTCGTGAACCTGCGTTTCACTCCCTCCCCCCCTCTCTCTCTTTCTCTCTCTCTCTCTCTCTCTCTCTCTCTCTCTCTCTCTCTCTCTCTCTCTCTCTCTCTCTCTCTCTCTCTCTCTCTC